TTTGGAATATTTTTGAACTGTGTGCTTTTAATCGATTAAACTTGCGAAATAATCTGTTAATTTCCTGGTTTTCAATATCTGCTCTTGATTCACTTCCAGATTAATCGATGAAATATGTTTTTAATCGGTTTATTTCATTAAATTTTTCTCGCTCTACATGCTTTTCTTTTAAATTAATCGATTAAATTTTCGATTTAATTGATTCACTTTGCTTTTGATATATGATTCTATCACATTAAGTGAAATTAATCGATTATATGGTAAAACAATCGATTAATTTCCTGGGATTAGTATTGTATGGTTCTGATTATTTATTACATGCTGAATTAGTTGTATTTACACTACAAAATCCTTTTTTACTGCTTCAACTACCTTCTTAAATGTGATACCTATCCAATTACATCAGTGATTCACGCTGGCCACTTGTGATTGGAGGTCAAAAAGTGAAGAAATTTTGACTGGTAAATATCAGTTAAAATATTTTAACTAATGTAGGTAAAGGACTAAAATTCTGCACCCACTGTCTCTTCTGTTACTGATGCAGGGAACAAGCTGAGATAACTCACTACACAACAAATTTGACTATTCAAAGTTGCTTAAGAGTTAGAATCCTCCCATTTCTCTTATTCTAGATCATTCCCTAACTATTCGAAAACCTTGTGTTCACTCTTGGCAAGGTAAACTACTCTCCCACTATTGTATTTGGCTCACTTCTTAATCACCATGTTCAAGTGCTCCAAATCTGGAAGAAAGAAGTCCAACTGAGGTGAATCCTCAGCTACTACTCAAGAAATATCAGGAGGAGGACTCATTGAAACTTGGTTCAATGGGGACCAAGAGAAAATGGGCTTGTTCATTCATGAAATGAGCAGGAAACATATCAATATCCCCAAAATGCTGAAATTCTCTTGGTTGGATGTTGAAGGATTCAGAGGGTTACGAAAACTACAACAACACTAGAAACTTCAGAGCTTCTTGAAACTCAACGGTAGAATCTATCCTGACCTCATCAAAGTTTTCTTTACTAACTTGTCCTTTGAAGGTTCCACTCTTAAATCTCAAATCAAAGGAGTGAACATTGAGGTTACTTCCACTATCTGGAATAATGTTGCTGACCTCAAAAATGAAGAGGTCAAAGTCTCTAAAGGATACACTACTGTTGTAAAAGAGTTCAACAAAGTGCAGTATTTTTGTTCCTGCATGAAGAATAAGCGTGACTCTGAGTTCCTTCAATGCTGGGAAGCTTAAACTTGAAGAAACGTTGCTTGCATTCATAGTGGCCTAGCAGCTTACTCCTAGGGGGAGCAATCATGCGCTGCTAAATGAAGGTGATCTGGTTCTCATGTACTGTATCCACCATAGAATAAGAGTGAACTGGGTATTTGTTGTCAAAGACCATATGCTCAAAGCAAAGAGACTAAGTGATTTTAAGTATCCTTATGCTATTTTAATTTCTAAATTCCTCACTCACTTTGGTGTTGATCTAGAAGGGGAACTTTCTGAAGTTGTATGCTCCACAAATGAGATTAACAATTCAATCCTTCATAAAATGGGGTTCCTGAAGATTGATGGTGACTGGATCTCAAAAGAGGAAGCAGACAGAGATCAAGAGGATGAAGATACAGAAGAAGAGGAAGAAGAAGAGGACACTGGTGCTCCAAGTGCCACTGAACCAAGTCAAACAGATCCCATGGAAGAAGTTGTGGTTCAACAGTCTCCATTAGACATGATTCCATATGTGGCTCCTCTTGATTGTGGCACCCCTCTTTCACAGTTTTAAAGGACTATGTTGCACCTAATGAATGAAATTCAAACTAATCAAAGGCGCCACATGGAGATGACATATGTTATGCAAGCTCGCCAACATCGACTTTATGAGGATTCAATTGTCAGGTTCCAGCATATTAACAATCAGCTAGATGATATCTACAACAGAATTGGAGACCTTTAATTCAATCACGGTCCCTGGGATGGTGATGAGTGAAATCTCCTCTTGTCAGCTTTATTTTACTTGCGTAATTTTTTTGTTGTTGTTTATTTTGTCTTTTGGGTACCTGAATGTAATTTGTGGATTGTATGTGATCTTTGATGAAGTCAAATAAGGGGAGAAGAGTGATATAGCATTGTCACTACACACATATATCTGTTATTTGCTTTTATGGACGAACAATGGATATTTGTCTCCATCAAATAAGGGGAGATTGAAATACTTGTTGAATTTGATGAAGACATATGAAGTATCATTGTATTCCGTTTGTGTGTATGTGAGTAGATAGGTTATAGATTCAGAATTTAATCTCTTGATACTTGTAATATATCTTGTGATAGCGCCTATAACTACTACATATCATAGAATTTATCATACTTCATAAAAAAAAAAACCAACCTTTAAGCTTTGAGAGAACAAATTTCTTTTAATATGTTAAAAAGTAGTTTTAATCGATTAAAATTGCTTAAAATAGGAAATGTATATGTACAGTCGACTTTTTAATCGATTAAGTCGTAAAAACAACAAATTGAAATGTTCTTGATATTTTTTTTATGTTAAGGGTTTCGCAGTTTTAATCCATTAAATGACAAATCAACAGATTAAATTGTTCTAAGTCATAATTCATGTTTTGAGTACCTCAGGTTTTTTAATATGTTAAAACAGAGAGTTACCGTTTTTTCTTTTAGCGTTTTTAATCGATTAAAAGCTCGAATTAACCAATTAAAATAGTTTTAAATGAAATTAATTGATTAAAGTATCATTTTAATCGATTAAAACTGTCAGTTTTTTTCTTTTTCTCTATAAATACAATTTTGATTTCTCTTTTATAATACACAAATTAAAAATCGGTTAAAGCTCTGGTATTCTTGTTTTTCTTTAAGCATTCATACACATTCATATCATAATGCGTTTTAATCAAGATTATTGAAAGATCTTCAAGAGAGGAAGTTCTATGTTAGAAAATTTGTTTCTGGACTTCTGTATTACAAAAGCTACTGTCCAAGTTTATCTTTTCTAATACTCTGTACGAATTTTGATTGTGTTTGATTCTGCACTGGTTACAACAACTGGGTTTGGTTGCTGGGTGGTTTTCAAGAGTCTATCTTGTGGTGTTGCATGGTAGATCTTGGGATAGATTTGTTTGTATGTACTTGGTTTGTATCTTTACTTGATTTTAGTGGAACTTGACAGATTTGTCAAGAACTGGATGTAGCTCTTAGAAAGAGTGAACCAAGTATAAAAACTCGTGTTGTATTTCGTATTTTTTTTTCATTCCTATTTTATATTCTTGTTTTATTAAAAATCGGATTTGTCTAATAAAAGATTAAATAAAGATTACTCATTCTTTCAAAGAAAAAATATTTATTAAAAAGGTTTTAAATTTCAATTCACCCCTCTTAAACCCAACCATTAATTCTTACATTTTGATCCCCAAGAAACAACTTACGAGATCAGTTATCAACGAGTGATGAAGGGTTATGAAACCAACAAGTGCAAATCACCTCTCCAACATGCACTTAAACATGTAGTGACTGATTGTGATGGTACGATACGTAAATCATTAAAATTCATCATTACCAATGTTTTGCCTGCCCATAAACAAGGTAAAAAGCTGGCCAGGCTGCATACAAATTTGAAGAGTTGAAATATGAAATCTGTCAAACAAAATTCAGTTTTATCATGAAGTCCATAGTCATCTGCAAAAATAGTTGTAGTTAAATTAAAAATTTCATATGAAACATTGAAATTAGACAAGCAAATCATATAAATTAACTAATTTGGATCTTCTGAAAATATTTCTAAAGCTTTGATTTTTAATCATCATGAACGAAGTCGTGTGACCCATGTAACCAACCTCATATAGTGGAATAAGACTTTCTTTTTTTCAAAAAGTTGGAATTACACATGTAATGAAAATACAAAAAGTTCAAACATGCTTCATTCTTTACAAATGTCACCACTTCAAATTTACATGTACACATTATACGGGTCATGGTCATAGTTCCACACTGAAAATAATTCAAAATAATGACATTAAGAGTGAAAAGAAAAGAAAAAAGACAGTAAGCACTAGGTAAGTGGTCCTGCAGCTTGCACTCAATTACTTATAAATCTATTCATCACTATCCAAAACGACGGACCACTATGCCAAGGGAAATAACACAACCAACAAACTCCTCCATGGTGATGTGATGGTATCACGACATATTTCGTTTACCAGCAAAAGCAATAATACGACTTAGTATCAAGTAGAATTTTTTTATGGAATGTCTCTTCCCCCAAGTTGGTAAAAGGGATTAGAACTACTTATTAAACCCATTATACCTAACAAACTTTTTCTACTATCATAGCTGTCCCAACTAACCCCTACTACTAACTATCATAACTTACCCAACTAATGGTCCTAACTCCTAACATATAATTTGTGGGCTCTTCCACATAAGGAGATAAAGAGAGAGGAATTCTAGTCAAACCTTAAGCATAACAAGCCACAATTATGAATTTTTTTAGAAATGCTTGAGAATGACCTACTTGTAAAAAATATGGACTATTGGTTTAGACCACACATGATCCCAGTCCCAGACTTCAAACCAATCACTAAGGATGATTTTGAGAACAAAATGATATACTAAAATGAAAATGCAATTCCATTTGTGAACAACATAATGAAAGAGTTAACATCTTCACACTGCTAAAACTTGTATCCAGCCTAAGGTATCTATTTCTGAACAACATAGTTAAAGAATAAACATAATGAAGGAGTAAACATCAACATAAAGCCCATATGAAGGAAGTGGGTTGCATTAGGCCTTCGGCAGCAAGCATAAAACCCGTTGATATTACACATGGTGCCGAGCCCACTACTAAAACTAAAACGAACTATCTTTTGTCAAACTACTTCTGCATATAATATCTAGTAAGGAAATTATAGGTAGGGAAAAGGGGGAAGGGAGGAGGGAGAGAAAGAAATTCAATGTTTATGAATCAGAAGAAAATTATATTTTATAATTTATTCAAGGTACAGAGTAACCATTCTATGTAAGTTGAATGGCAGTTTCAATCTCCAATCCTTCTGTTTACGACTTAAAGGTCTGCCTTTTCTAAGGGGGTCTCTATTCTCTTTAACGTCTGCCAACTTCCAAACACACATCTCTGAGTCTTTTTCTATAGAATCTAACAAGAAAACTCCATCCCTTTCTGGGCAATTGGACTCTATATTTTCTGTGTAACAGACTCTCATAGGCATGTCTTTGAATCGACCAATATCATCTGGCACTTTCAGTAACCTCTCAGCACCTGGGGATGAAACCTTCAGAGCAAAATTATGCTTTGTTAAGTACCAAATACACTTGAAAGGAACAGTCATTTGCTACTGAATATAATCCCATTGGAACAAGAGTATTGGACATAGCTGCCATACCTCTATAGCCAAATCATCGGGTATCTCTCCAAGTGCTCCAACTTCATCCAATATTTTCTTGTATTGTTTATTGTAGCATTCAAGCTCTTCTATGCTTGGACACCCATATCTGAAACGAAAGTTGGAAAAGTGAATACAATTAAGGTACTCCTATCTGTAGCAGCCAATTTGAATTGGTCACATTAAACAGCTTGACATTAAAAAGTATATCCTTGGATGGAGAAATTTAAGTGTCTGACAATACCAGAAAAGTGAAGAAAACGAACTAATTAACTAAACTCAAAAAATCTCCATATGGTTTCATGCAATCACCAAGTGCATGGCATGATACATTTACAAATGTTTTCAAGAGTCTAGGGTATTATTAACCACGTCAACCAGACCACACCATGTTCTTCAACAATCCGAAGACTGGAAGTAGATTATCCACTTTGTATATGTCAATGAAATGGTTCCTCACTACAAATAATACTGTTGAGATAGGAAGATTGAAAAAGGTTCTGGCAGCTAAATTTGAAGTGAAAGACACGGGATAAATGTGATAATTTTGGGGATGGAAGCTGCTAGATCAAAAAGAGAGATCAGTTTTTCTCAATGGAAGAAAACCTGGTTGATATCCTATAATCTTAATCTAATCAAGACAGGCAGTTTGGCATGCTTGCATGTAAACTGAGGGACACCAATTGAATCTGGAAAAAGAATTTGGAAATTCAGTTTAAAAAGAAAAACATCAGAGACCAATGCACACTAGATCTGCCATTGTCTTCGCAGTTAGTGTAGTGATCCAACACAATCCACCGTGGGAATTTGACCTAGAGCAGCCGGCACAAAATCTCAGATATTTAAAGAGCTCATTGGGCAGAGGACTGGTCTTGACGAAGAGTTGCAGCAAAGAGGTACAAGATTTTACAGATATTGATTGGGCAGGTTTGAAAGAAGACAGACAGGAGGTCTATTGCCAGTTATTGCACCTTTTTATAAGAAAATTTGCTAACCAAACTAAGCACATAACATAGTGGAAAAGACTGAAGATAGAATCACCTGCATGACTTATATTCCTAAAAACGAGCAGAGTCAGCAACTGCAGAGTTGCAGATATGTTTAGCAAAGGTTGTCTGACAACAAAATTCAGTGATTTTATTCACAGCTAGAAAATAATCAACGTCTAAAATTCAACTTTAGAGGGGGGCTAAACATGCTTAATGTGTGCCATATTTTTAATTGGAATCCCAATTAAAGGACAATGTATACTTATTAATCTACTTTCTTTATGAAAGTTTTACACTAATTAGCAGGATTGTATATTAGAAAGGCCCCAGTCTTTTGTATCCCTCCTATATTTAATAAATGAATTACAGCTTCACACATACATACAAAACATGTTGTATTTTCAGCAGGTTCCCTCATATTTCAGAGGGTAGAGTTAACTACCGGTGGCATAGCAGGAATATTGACATTTATAATTTGACTTGGGACTGGCGGTTATCTCCCCTTGCAGTTCAGCCAAAGATTGTCTTTGCTCTCTAGAGACCCTTTCTGTTGTTATTAGTCAATCTTACCTGCATTAACCTCCTTGAGATGCTGTGCTCTTCCCTTTGTAGCATTAATACTTCAATTCATTTTACATATCCATATTTGATACCAATACTGTTGGATACTTCTCCAATATGTATCTTGAAGAGTCCAAGCCTTTAAAAATATTATGAAAATTCAATATGATAATGTATGAGAAACTGAAGCATGTATAGTTATGAAAAATATAAATTGTTAGATATTGTTAGTCATAATATTTAACAATATCTTAGAATTATCATATTTATGTGTAATTGTCATATTTTCCTGTATTACTCTTCATTATAAATATATTATCCTATATGTATTTTACACACAAGAGAGATTAACCCTATACCTAGTTTTCAATATATTCAACATGGTAGAGCTTAGGTTCTCTTTTTTTCATTGTTATTGCCCTTGCACCTATCGCCGCCACCGCTACCAGAGTAGTTGTCACCGGAGTTAGAATTTAGACCAGCAACCACATCTTGACTAGGCAACCACCGCGCCGTTGAGATCGCCGCGATCGGAGTCTCCACGTGCTCTCATGCACCATTCGAAGTTTTCACGCCACAGCCACTTTCCGCCACACCTGGCAGCACGTGACAGGCCTTCTCCGGCTGCGATCACCATCATTGGACTCGTCTCTCCCTCTTTTTGGATCTGGCCTTGTTGATCTGATCAGACCTCTTTGTTTTTTTTTTAGGATTTTTCTCTCTCTTCCTCCATGGCTTCTTCCGCTGCCTCTTCCAATATCTCTTCTTCTGCATCTATTGTGGATCTTACTTCATCTTATACAGCAGGCAAATCTATTATTTTCAATAAATTTTTCAAATGGTATAAGGATTGTCAGAACTCTAGTTCCACTGCTTCTGTTGTATGCACAAGTACATCTTTTGTTGGCCTAACTCAATCTCCTTCTCTTGGACCTTGGGTTCTTGACTCAGGCACCACAGATCATTTTACTAGTAACAAATTTTTCTTTATCCTTGTTGAAAGTCCCACATCGCCTACCTCATATCATTTGGTATGGTTTAAATACATGTTAGGCTACTCCACATATTGCCAATTGGTTTTATGTTGGAACCTTAACATGGTATCAGAGCCAAAGCCTAACATCTTTCCAGTTATTGTCATGGGCCAAAAGTTGCCCTTTAGTTGGGTCAAAAGTACCATTTGCCTGGTCCGGCGGGCTTCGTTGGAGGGGGTGTGTTGAAAGTCCCACATCGCCTACCTCATATCATTTGGTATGGTTTAAATACATGTTAGGCTACTCCACATATTGCCAATTGGTTTTATGTTGGAACCTTAACAATCCTCTTCGGATAATTTACCTTCGGTTACAATGGTTGATGGGTTTAAGGTCTTATCTCAGAGTGTTGGTACTATTAATCTTTTTTTATCTTTAACTATTGATAATGTTTTTTATGTTCCTAGGTCTCCTTTTAACTTATTATCCATTAGTCGTCTAACTTGTTCTCTTGATTGTATTATTTCTTTTACCAAAGATTCTGTTTGTTTATAGGACCGGAAATCGAGACAAATGATTGGCACCAAATGTGAGACTCATGGTCTTTATCATCTCTGCCCTTCTACACATGTTGGTACAGTTATGGAGTCTTCATCCCTCTTCCATGCTCAGCTAAGTCATCTCAGTCTTGCCAAATTGTAGCAGTTTGTTCCCCCAGTTTGTCCAATTTATCTAGTTTATTATGTAAGTCATGTCAATTAGGGAAATATAGTCGTAGTTCATTTCCTTGTAGTGTCTCACGATGTGCTTCGTCCTCTTTTGCATTAGTTCACTCTGACATTTGGGGACTCATTCATGTTAAGTCTAATTTAGGTTCTCAGTAATTTATTACCTTTATTGATGATTATTCTAAAAGTACTTTGTTGTTTTTAATGAAAAATCGTTTTGAGTTTTTTCTATATTCCAATCCTTTTTTAATGAAATTAAAACTCAGTTTGGAATTTCTATTTGAATTTTGTGAAGTGATAATGGTTGTGAATACCTTTCTCATTCTTTTAAACATTTTATCGCTTCTCATGGCATTCTTTATCAAACTTCATGTGCTTATACACCTCAACAAAATAGGGTGACTGGGCACAAGAATAGACATCTTGTTGAAACAACTCACACTCTTTTAATTTATAGTAAGGTTCCTAAACATTTTTGGGGTGATGTTATTCTTATTGCATGTTATCTTATCAATCGCATGCCATCTTCGGTTCTAAATAACAAAAATCCTCATTCTCTTTTATTTCCTCATGAACCTCTACATCCCTTACCTCTTAAAAGTTTTTTTTGTCTATATGTTTTGTTCATAATTTTAGTCCTGATCTTGATAAGTTATCTCCTAAATCACACAAATGTATTTTTTTTTAGGATTTACTCGATCACTAAAAGGATATAAGTGTTTCTCTCCTTCTCTTAACTGTTATTTTAAGTATCCTTCTTCTCCATGTGTGTCTCCGTCTACTACAGTCAGTCAATATTCCTGTTGTGCCTAGTCCACCTTTGGATTCTCTTCCACCACCACCACTTTAGGATTATAATTGAAGACAGCGATCCTAACAACCACCCAATAACTTACTACTAGTGTCAACTCCTTTGTCTCCTCCGGCTCCGACAACTGAGTTTAACTTTCCAATTGTCCTCTATAAAGGGATGTTTTACCCGTAATCTCTCTCCTCGTTATACGGCTCTGAGTTATCGTAAATTATCTCCACCTTTTTATACCTGTGTTTTATCTATTTCTTTTGTGTCAATTCCTAAATCCATAGGTGATACATTAGTCCATCCTGGTTGGCATCAGCCAATGCTTGATGAACTGAGTACTCTTCAAAATAGTGAAACTTGAGAGCTCATCCCATCATCGTCTGGGAAATCTGTTGTTGATTGCAGATGGGTTTTTGCTATCAAAGTTGGTCCTCATGGTACTATTAATTGTCTCAAAGCTTGTCTTGTGGCCAAAGATTACACACAAAATTTTTGTTTGGACTATGGTAATACTTTTTCTCCAGGGGCAAAGATGACTTTTATTTGCTTATTCATAGTCATGACTGCTCTTCAACAATGACCTATTTACCAACTGGATGTCAAAAATGTTTTTCTTAATGGAGATTTGCAGGAAGAAATTTATATGGAGCAACCTTCAAGTTTTGTTACTCAGGGGAGTATTCTGGATTGGTATGTCGTCTTCACAAATCTTTAGATGGCCTAAAACAGTCTTCTAAGACCCGGTTTGGAAAATTTAGTAGTGTTGTTCAATAATTTGGTATGACTCGCAATGAGGCAGATCATTCAGTCTTTTATCGTCACTCAAGTGTTGCGTGTATCTATTTAATAGTACATTGTTCTTACAAAGAGTGATCACCATGACATCTCCCAAATAAAGCAACATCTTTGTCACCACTTCTAGACCAAAGATCTTGACAAATTTAGATATTTCTTGGGGATTGAGGTAGCACAATCCAATAATGGTATTGTTATATCTCAGAGAAAGTATGCATTAGATATTTTAGAAGAAACTGGGTTGATGAACTCAAAATCTGTTGACACACCCATGGATCCCAATACCAAACTTCTACCTAATCAGGGGGAGCCTCTCTCAGATCCTGAGAAGTACAAAAGATTAGTTGGAAAATTAAACTATCTTACTGTTACTCATCCTGACATTTCCTTTGCAATTAGTGTGGTGATTCAATTTCTTAATTCTTCAGGTGCATATCATTGGATGCAGTCATCCGTACATTAAAGTACATTAAAGGATCTACTGGAAAAGGGTTATTATATGATTACAATAACCATGCTAAAGTTGTCTATTATTCAGATGCTGACTGGGCAGGATCTCCTTCTGATAGAAGATCTATTTTTGAATACTGTGTTTCTATTGGAGGTAACTTGATCTCTTGGAAGAGCAAGAAACAAAATTTATGGCAAGATCTAGTGCAGAAACAGAATATAGAGTTATGACCTCAGCCACTTGTGAGCTTGTTTGGCTTAGACAATTACTTAAGAGTTACAATTTGGAGATGTCACTCAAATGACACTTATATGTAACAATCAGATTGTTCTTCATATTAGATCTAATCCTGTTTTTCATGAAAGGACCAAGTACATTGAAGTTGACTACCATTTTATTCAAGAAGAGATTGTACCTGGAGACATTAGGATCAAGTTTGTCAACTCAAGTGAACAGTTAGCAAATATTTTCACCAAGTCTTTACGGGAACCTAGAATTGATTATATTTGTAACAAGTTTGGTACATATGATTTATATACATCAGTTTGAGGGGGAGTATTTAGATATTTTAAATATTATTAGTCACAATATATGCATTTTCCATGTTTACTTGTATGACTCTTAATTATAAATATATTACCATATGTATATTTTAGACACTAAGGGAATTAACCCTATACCTAGTTTTCACTATTATTAGTCACAATATATGCATTTATCATATTTACTTGTATAACTCTTAATTATAAATATATTACCCTATGTGTATTTTAGACACTAAGGGAATTAACCATATACCTATTTTTCACTATGTTCAACAATCACAATAACCAGACTAATGTTGTCTGTTATTCAGATGCTGACTAAGCAGAATCTCCTTCTAATAGAATATCTACTTCCGGATGTGTTTCTATTGGACATAACTTGATCACTTGGAAGAGCAAGAAACAAAGTGTTGTGACAAGATCTAATGCAAAAACATAATATAGAATTATGACCTCAGCCACTTGTGAACTTGTTTGGCTTAAAAAATTACTTAAAAAGTTGCAATTTGGAGATGATACTTATATGTGACAATCAGGTTGCTGTTCATATTAGCTCTAATCATGTCTTTCATGAAAGGACCAAACACATTGAGGTTAATTGTCATTTTATTAGAAAAAATATTGTATCTGGAAACATCAAGACCAAGTTTATTAACTCAAGTGAACAGTTAATAGATATTTTCACCAAATCTTTATGGGAACCTAGAATTGATTATATTTGTAACATATGATTTATATGCACCAGCTTGAGAGAGAATGTTAGATATTGTTAGATTTTATCAGATAGTGTTAGTCACAATATCTTATAATTACCATATATATGTGTATTTGACATATTTTCCTATATTACTCTTCATTATAAATATATTACCCTATGTGTATTTTACACGCAAGAGAGATTAACCTTATACCTAGTCTTCACTATATTTAACATAAATAACATTACTTAATGAACCAAAAATGAATACTTTTCTTTATACATTATTTTAAGAAATGAATGAGATCAATACTATTTCTATTGGAGACGTTAGAAGTGATTTATAATGACAATGGTTCAGAATTTTTATTTACTTTTACTAATGTCCAAGAAATATGTTCTTAAAGTGGATTTTCAAAATTGAAATTATATATTTAATGTTTTATGAATTTCATTTATATCTAAATATGTCTTACAAGTATCGTATCCTATATATTTTAGAATAATTGTATCACTGTATCGGATTGAATACATAGGTTGTATTTGTACATCATAGGTTCTTTGCTTCCAAGCTTTCCTAGTTAGATCATTTGATGATTTAGTAGATACACACCATAAGTTGTTCTATTTGGAACAAACACCCCCTTCAAATAAGTATTTGCAAGGTCATGCCTAGCTTGCCTTAATTGTGGCCTCTTTGGAGACTGGCATAATTGCAGCCATGAGAGAATGTATTTAGTCTCTTATTACCTTGATAATAGAGATATGACTTAAATAGAGTTCATAAAACATGAGTCATGTCACTTTACAAGTCAGTTTGAGTTAGGTTCATAGATCAAATCTTCAATGAAATTTTATCCTAGATTCATTGTTGGACCACTTGCATTGTCATGATTCAGGTCCATATCCCTAGGTATGAGGAAATTATTGGAAATCCACCTTAATTGTGGTCACTCATAGCCGACCTCAATAGCCTAGAGATATCAAATAGAAATTATAAGGCTTCGACATTTCTCCTTTTACAAGACAGTTTTACGGAGTTGAGATACCTACAACTCAAATTCTAAAGATAAGCTAATTAAAGGAGTGCAAACATGTTCTCTGAATGTTGTACATGATAAAAATTGAAGCCATACTCATGAGTTAATTTGTCCAATCTCACATAAACATATCCACGAGGAGTTGTCTTGAAAGCAAATAGTTTGATGTCCTCACTGAACTGCATAAGCACGTCCTCAGCAATAGAGTGAGCTCGCTGGCCCCAAGGGACATTTTGCAAGGCAACTCCACCACCATCACCACCATCACCAATCTACACACAAAGAACACCAAATATTAATATTTATCAAATTTGTTTCCATTTAACGAAGCAGATCAAATAATAAAGACATTATTGAGAAAAATACGACTTTTCCCACGAGATAGTTGCTATCTGCTCCAATACAGAATAAAGGTTTACTTAGACCCATAATATAATTGAACTGAAGAACTTAAATCGAAAACTCTGTTTTCAAAAGTAGACTGGATCAACTGGTCATATAAGCGAACTAAGTAACCAGCTAAAGGAAATCACAAAACCGACATAAAGAAGAACCGGTCATACAACTGAAAAACCGGTCTAAACCATTTCAATTAAAAAATATTTAATAATAAATTATTTTAACTTTTATCTTTAAATCTAAAATATTTGTCATTTTTTTTTATTCTACCTATAAACTTATTATTATTAATAAATATTGACGGACGTTATCAAAATTTTAGTTCAAGTATGATAAAATATTTCATTTTATTTTTTATAAGTATTTTAAATGTTAAGAACCTATACATGTATGTTTTATTTTAGTTTTTAACATCGTAGAATTATGAAAAATTATATTTTTTTAATATTATTTATATATTATTCAATTACTATGCTATTTTATTAATATCAGTTTGACAACGCTTGAACCACTGAATCTTGAATCAGTGCCTTCATCAGTTCAACAGCTGGCTTAATTTTGTAAACATTGATTGAAACCCTAGTGTTGAATGCACTACCTTAGGTTCAGTCTCATCTTCCTCTTCCCATCCGTCAATATCACCTTCATCACTTGTCTCTCCTGCAAATACAACATACTTGAATCTATCAAGCTAATAGCTACATAAAACACTGCTAAAAATAAAAAGTATAACTTCACGTAGCCTCTTTTGCCAGGGGTATCTATCAATGCACTGGAGAAAAATATAATGAACACTTAACAAAGACATCAGATTTTGGGAAACAAATCAGAATAATCAACATTGCAAAAAACTAATTGTAACAATGACGTGTGTTACTACTGCCTTAGTCAATGACTTTCTAGTATATATCAAAACACAGATATTTTACTAGAGAGAAAAAAGTGGGATAGAAAACCCTCGAGAACTGTTGGAAAAACATGAGTTCTACATCAAGTGGAGATAGTGCCGAAATACAATATATAAGTGGGACAATCCTCACCCTACAAGTTTGTTTTATAAGATTGAGTTAGGCTTAAATCATTTTGTAAGATAGTATTAGAGTCTATCCTTGATCCATTCAAAAGCGTCACTTTCTAAAAGAACAAAGGCATTAAAGTGAAACAAAGAAAGACGCTGCATTTTATAGCTCCTTAATATCTATTTCAGAGATTGCCTTCAAAGAACCAATGGAAAGCAGAAAGTTGTTATGGCTAAAAGAAAGTCAACCCAAAAGAAATGTCCATTAGGTAGAAGAGTCTTATAGCTTAAGTACCACATAAGGTTTTAAATAGCACTGCTATAGCAGTTTGGAGCGGCCCTTGCCTGCTACAGAGGATGCTGTAGCAGTCGTAGCAGACCAAATAGTGGCCATAGCGGTGCTATGAGTTGAATCCAAAAAATACCTAGGAACAAAGACATTAGATCTTTCCTGGAAGGCTCTTTTTGGGATTTTAATTTCCAAAATTGAAATCTATAGATGTAATAATAGTGAAAATGATAAACAAGACTTGAATTTAGAAGATGATGACCGATTATTCCGATCTAGGAAACTTATATGTGACTATGTTTTGTTTAAGATACCAATGACTTTTTATTGTTAATTATGAATGCTATTAATTTTGAGTAACTTTTATCATTTTTGAAAATTTATATGCAATACATTATATAAATAATAAAAAAGAAATTAAAATAGCCAGTATCCCACTATACTATCCCGCTACAGCGTTTTTGTAGCAGGCCATTAAGCACCGCTATCCAGGATTTAAACATTGATAAGATTCTCATTATACTCAATGGAGGACTCTTAACATTTCCACCTATTTATAAAAGCCAACATATGGCAGCCCTTTTCCCTTACATTGATTGCTTCACTAATGTTGAGAAGAGAGAAACTGAGAAGGCATGTGATGAATCACTACCAACTCTTATGACTTAAGCACAAGAGCAAAGGTTAACTCAGAACACTAGCCTATTAATCCAGAGACTCTCATGGCTTAAATCTCACGTTAAGTTTCTCATTCTACCTAGAATTCGTAATAGAAGCCATATACAAGGAAATTCTATTCCACATAAGATTTTGGAGCACATATGAAAAAATCTACTGAAATTATTAACATTAAACTCCAGGCAGACAATAGAAAGCACACACGACCAAAGCTAATGTAAACGTTCTAAATTCAAAACAAATATGCGCTAAATGTTATCAAAGTATTCTTTCCACGTTTCAAAACCAACTACTTCAGTGAAACCAACCCATTATTAATACGCCAATAATTTTATTTTATTTTTTACAATAAAAAGATGAAGGAAGAGAGAGAAATAACCTGGAAAATGGTGAGAAAAGGATCGAAGGAAAGTAGAGGAGAAGGAACAAAAGTGGGATTCTGATGGAGGGAGAGAATCGATATTAAAATGGAAGAAGTGCGAATGAGTTGATGTTGTTGGAGGGCGTAGTAGAACGGCACCAACCGTATTCCTCATCCTCCTAATCATACCTCTTGCCATTGCCATGTTTGATGCTTCGTGTGTCAATGTCGAACAACACCAACAAACACGTCACAATTTCACAGACATACCTTTGTTTTTAATGTCAGCATTCGGCCCTCTCTCTCGCTCTCTCTCACACTACTAAAGCGTGCCACAAACGAGTTGGCTCAAAAAGTTTAAATTGGGTTGGGTAAATTTAATTAGAGGCCCAAAATTTTCTCACTCGTCCGGGCCTATGATAATGGGTGAGGCCTTCATTTTAACTTGAGACTTTTAAGGACTAAACAAAATTATTCATTAGGTTAAAAATTTAAATTTCAAAAATGGCCAATATTTTGAACACCTAATCTGAATTTAAATTGAATTTTAACCCAATGATTAAATTTAAGTCTATTAATCCAAAGTTCTTTTTTCTTTACATCTTCTTTGTTTTTTTTTATTCATCCTGTTGCTTTTATCTCATTTGTGTTATAGCTGAATATACTTGGTTAAAGGATGAATTCTATATATTTAGCACGATCGATATTTTCTTTTGCTTAATTTCTACCTCTAATTCAGAAATTCCTTTTTTTTTATCTTATTTCATTAACATTTTTATTTACATTTACATTATAATAGAAAATAAAGTAATTTGATTGGTATAATATGTCACTTACCCTATATACATTATAAAATATCATAAATTTTGAAAAGAACCAAAATTCCACATTTATATATTGTTTCTTATATTAAAAAATATAAAATATGAATTTATGATAGAATAATATTTTTAATTAACTTATTATTAATTCTATTTTATTATAATTTCTTCAAATAAATTTTTAAAAACACATTATTTTTCCTCATTTATTTTATTTTATTCATTTTTGTAACTATCAGCATTCTCAGCAGGAACTATTAATTTTAATAACATCTCAAAAATAATAAAATTGCTTATAAATAAAAATAAACATTTTATTATAGATTTTATATAAAAATTACTTAAAATTAGAAAATATTTAAAATTAAAGTTATTTATATAAATAACTTAATTTATTTTTAAAAAGTTCATATAAAGTCTATAATAAAAAAATATTATTAAACATTTCTTATCTAATTTTCTAAAAAAAATTGAAAGTAAATTAATATGTCACTTAAGGTTTATCGGATAAAAAATAATTTCTAACAATTAATAGGACGTCAGTATTTAAATCTTGTTAATTACTTTATTAAATTATTTATTTAAAAGATTATTAAAAAAAGAAGTAAACTAGAAAGAATAATAAATTCTTTAAAATTTATTAACAATTTTTTAAAGTATGATATAATATAATAATTTTATATTTTATACTTTTTTAATGGGAAAAATAACTTATAATATCAGTTGTTAATTTAATTTACACATTAAATTTTTGTATTTTATTTTATAACATAATTATTTTAATTAAACAATAATTTTAAGTAGCAAGAATTATTTTGATGAGTACATTGATGTTGGTATCGATGTTAAGTAATAATCTAAAATCTTATTTGTCTACGGTTATTAGGCTTTAATGCCCAAATTCTTTATTGTTCTCAAATTACTCTTCTTTTGTGATATTGCCTTGTTACGGTTTATAATCCATTTAATGTAATTTTAATTTAATAAATTACGTTTGGTGAAACGAAAGTTATGTTAATGACCGTTAAAATTGAGAACAAATTGGATGAAAGTATCAAAGCTCATTCCATAACAATTAAAAACATTAGATAAAAGACAGTTAAAATAAAAATTAAAAAAAATCATTAAATAAGGTTGGCTACAATATACAATATTTGTAAAAGAAAGAAAAGCATTATATATCAATTGCTCCAAGTAAAAGAAATATTTTTGCTTCTTACAGTTATATGTTAATTAATTCATTTGCTTATATTTCAATTTTTTATATTTGTAAACATCGTCTTAAGTAAGAACAAAAAAATTAGCCAAACCCTTACGTAATAAAAGTTAGTAAAATAAAAATTATAACAACTGTACTCATTTAATTATGCATGGATATCTTCAAGAAAAAAAAAACAATAAATTTATTAATTAAAATTACAAAGGGTAAGATGTTTATTTTCAATTTCACTGACAAAAAAAAAAAAAAACAAGATTAAAAGATGGAACTTATAATTGTTTTTAGAGTTTTAATAATGAAAAAGACTGCATATAAGAAAAAAACAATAAAATTATTAATTATAATTATAAAAAGTAATATTTCTATTTTCATTAAAAAAACAAATAAAAAAAATAACAAGATTCAAGACTCAAGGTTCCATCTAAAACATGGTTTAGGTTCTTAAACATTCAAGAGAACGATCAATGTGTCCGATAAGATAAGGCATGAAATCAACGGATTTCATGGACAGATTTGCTAAACGGAAGCTATTAATGTCGCAAACGAAGAAATTGCCTCAAAACATCGATGTGAAAAACAGTTCTGGGACAGAGTGCGTTTGCTTAAACCAAAGAAATTCAGATAGCAGATTCAAAATTTAGCAATTCAATGAAAAACAAACGATAAGAGTGAGATGTTGCAGTGATAAAGGGCCTGAAAGATCACGGAAAAATCAAATCCAGACGAGTGACACCGCAGAATTTGATTTTGCAAGTGTTAATACATGATTGATTGGATCGTAGGGTTATCAAGACCCATTCAAGAAGCTGAACTTGCATTTTACAAAATTTTGAAAATTTCGAAAAACAAAACGAAACAAAAGTAAGAAACAGAGAAATCGATCAACGCGACGAAGAGACGGAGGATCAAGAATTGTGTGGTCTTTATAAAGGCATTCTCGCTAGGGTTTTTGTTTATATGGGCCTCGAGGGCCGTTCAGCCCAATTAAATGACTTCCGAGCTCAGTTATTAGCTTAGGTGTAATATAAAATTACACATTTCTCAACAGTTATTATACTTTATTCTATGGTGGTTTAATTTGTACATATACATATAACATTTTACGCTTATATCATGAAATTTGATAATTTTATTTTTAATTTTGCACTATATCACGAAATTTAATATAACCAAAAATACATATCTTTGAATTAATTTACATATATTAATTTAATTTTTATAATAATCAATTAAATATTATAAAAAAATAGTTCGATGAGTGAATTTTGACTAATAATTATGGGAATAAATAACGTATTATTAATAAATAATAAATAATATGAAAATATAAAAAAATATGAAAAATATTTTTTATTTTATATATTTAAATATTTTTGAGAAAAAATAAAATTATAAATATATTTAATGATTATTTAGGATAAACTTATAAATATATAAGTAAATTAAAAAAATTGAGAATCTTATTGAATATTTCGAGAAGGGATTCACTGGAAAGAAACAATGTTGTTAGAGATCAAGACTTATTAATTAGAATAATTAAATTATGATACGATTTAATGATAATATAATCAATTTTATTTCGTTATTTATGCATAATTATGCATAACATTTATAGGGAGGATATTTTCCTGATTTTCAAGGATAAATTAGTGTATAGGTTTATTATCTTGTATTCTATATATACCTCTTTGTATCTTTTCCAAAATAAAAGATACACATTGTATTTTTCATATGATAGATTAGTGTACAGGTTTATTATCTCGTATTCTATGTATACCTCTTTGTATCTTTTCCAATATAAAAGATACACAATGTATTTTTCGCATAGTATCAGAGCTCGATCTGGACCAACTCTAGCCTAGCGCAACCAACCATGGAAGAGAATAAGGCAGGAGGTTCGGCCACCAGTTTGGTCGAAGGATATGCTCTTCCTATCACTGGTCACATTGAATGGCCAAAATTACCCTTAATGGGTGCGTTCAGTTAAGATATTCCTTTTAAAGAAAAGGGAAGGAAGGTTACATCATCGGAGACTCCAAGTGTCCAATAGAGGGTGACCCTAACCTCAACAAATGGCAACTAGAAAGCAATTTAGCCATGTCATGGTTATTCAACACCATGACCGATGAAATTGGGAAGAATTATATGTACTATGACACTGCCAAGGAGATGTGGAATGCAGTGAAGGAAACCTACTCAAATGTGGACAATACGTCGGCGGTAGTTGAGATCAAGAGCATACTCCATGAACTACGACAAGGTGATTTTTCAGTCCCTGAGTATTTTAATACACTCACCTGATATTGGTAGCAACTAGACATATATGAAGACGTTTAATGGAGTTGTGTCGAGGATAAGAAGAAATATAAAGAATTGGTGGAGAAATATAGGATTTACAAGTTCATATTGGGGCTGAACATAGAGCTTGATGAAGTTCGAGGGAGAATCCTTGGAACTAAACCTCTTAGAATAATTCGAGAAGCATTTTCGAAAGTGAAAAAGGAGGAGAGTAGGAGGAGAGTAGGAGGAAAGTAATGATTGGAAAGTCAAGTGCAGTCCCACCTATTGAAGGCATAACAATGACATCAAAAGGGAACCAATCTTGTTCATCTAAAAAGAAAAATCGGCCATGGTACGATAACTCCAAGAAATTGTTGGATTATTCATGGCAAGCATTTAGAGGAAAAATAGACAAAAAAACCTGGATAACAAAGGTAACACAATAGAGGTAAATTCCAATTCATCTCCATTCAGCAAGGAGCAAATGGAAGCACTATAGAAATTTCTCCAGCAAATAATTGGTACAATTGCAGTAGCACAAAAAGGTAATTTCTTGCATGCTCTAAATACTAGCACAGGAAAATCACATGACTAGAGATTTAATTGTGTTTAAAACCTATACTCCTTTCTCCTTGTCAGAATAATTACATAGTTCGGATAGCTGTGAGACTCTTTCTAAAGTCATGGGTAAAGGTTCAGTTATTATCTCACAAAATATTAACTTGAAATCAGTTTTTTATGTGCCTAAACTTGACTGTAATTTACTGTCCATTCCAAATTGACAAAAAATTTAAAGTGTGTCACTAAATTCTTCCCTATCCTATGTGAATTTCAGATGTTGGAGACGGTGGAGATGATTGGCATTGCAAAAGAATGTGGTGGACT